AAGGGTGATATTGTAGACACCGAGAGCGGGCTGGGGATGTGGCTCAAGTGGTAGAGCGCTCTCCTGGCATGCGTGCTGCCCGGGTTCAATCCTCAGCACTACATACAAACAAAGATGTTGTGTCCGCCGAAAACTAAAAAATAAATATTAAAATTCTCTCTCTCTCTCTCTTTAAAAAAAAGAAAAAGAAAAAAAAACTTTAAAAAGGGTTGAGAATGTAGCTTAGTGGTAAAGTTCCCCTGAATTCAACCTCCAGTACCAAAACACACACACTGAATTTTCTCCATGAAGAGTTCTTCCTGTTCATGAGCAACATCTTGTAGTTCACTCCTTATAACTAAGTACTGACTGGACAAAGGCTCTCTACAAAGAGCAGTTTTTCTTTTCACTGATCCTCAGGCTTACATATAATTGGGAGAAAATGGTAGTGATGGGATCTTGAAAATGGCTATAGCAGCCTTTCTGCAAAGTCTGTATCAGTTTCTTCCACAATTTTGCAAAACAGCAAGAACAGACTGTTCTTCAAATGCAGCTAATCTTCACCATTACTGGCAACATGAATTCTAGTGGTAAAGTTTTTGACTGCCCTGCCAGAGTTTGCTCCTCAATTTAGTTGCTCTTCCCAGTGAAATTTTCTATGTGGGTGTATCTTAAAAGATGCCCTCTAAGCCGGACACAGTGGCGCACATCTGCAATCCCAGTGGCTGGAAGGCTGAGGCGGGAGGATGTGGAGTGCAAAACCAACCTCAGCAAAATTGAGGCGCTAAGCAAGTCAGTGAGACCCTGTCTCTAAATAAAATACTGGGGGCTGGGGATATGGTTCAGTGGCTGAGTGCCCCTGAGTTCCATCCCTGGTATCACACACACACACACACACACACACACAAAAAAAAAAAAAAAAAAAAAGCAAAAAGATGCCCTCTAGCTGCATGCGGTGGTGCATGTTTATAATCCCAGCAGCTCAGGAGGCTGAGGCAGGAGGATCATGAGTTCAAAGCCAGCCTCAGCAATTTATTGAGGCCCTGAGCAACTCAGTGAGACCCTGTTTCAAAATAAAACATAAAAAGTAGTGGGGATGTGGGTCAGTTGTTAAGCACCCCTGGGTTCGATCCCTGGTACCAACAAAAGATGCCCTCAACTTGTAAGATCTTTGGGGTTGCAGTGTTTAAGTGCTATTTTCACTGTATTTTGTTATCTCTTTATAGGAACTCTTAATGTATTGGTGAAATGAAATGTTTGTTTGCCCACTATGTTCCAAAGAATCTTATTTTTCCTGTTCTCTTCATTTTGCCCTAAAGTGGTTTGTCCCTGAAGCATTTCTGTGTTGGAAGCATGATCCTCAGGGTGGCCATGTGGAGGTGGTGGAACTTTTAAGAGGTGATGCCCAGGATGAGGTCATTAGAGGTATGTTCTTGCAAGACGTTATGGTAGTTCTTGTGGGACTCTGAATTAGATCTTGAGACAGCATGTTGTTATAAAAGTCATTCTCTAGCTTCCATTTTGGCTACGTGATCTCTTCCTCTTCCACATGCTCCAACCATCGTGGTACCCTCTACGACAAAGTCCAGACCAGGGCAGAGCTGATGCTGGTGCCTTGCCCTTGAACCTCCATAACTATGAACTAAATATACTTCTTTTCTTTATAGAGTTAGCCTGCCTCACGTACTTAGAATAATAAAAAATAGACTAATACTGTGATGATGTTTGCTATGAAGAAACTTAAAGTTTTATGTACTCAAATGTATTAATTGTTTCCTTAAAATTTCTAGATTTGAAATATTATTTTTTTAGTTGTAGATGGACACGATAACTTTATTTTATTTATCTATTTTTATGTGGTGCTGAGGATTGAGCACAGCCTCACACATATTAGGCAAGTGCTCCACCACTGAGTCACAACCCTTGCCCCTGATGGCACATTTAATAGTTTTTTTAATTTTTTTTTTTTTGGTTGAAGATGGACACAGTACCTTTGTCTTTTTTTTATATTTTTTAAATATTTTTTTTGGTTGAAGATGGACACAGTACCTTTATTTTATTTGCTTTTATTTTTAAGTGGTTCCGGGGATGGAACCAGTGCCTCATACATGCTAGGCAAGTGCTCCACTGAGCCACAACCGCAGCCCCTAATGTCATATTTTTTAAAAGCCTTCTTCCTTCTGAATTTCTAAAATTATTCTCCTATATTTTCTTCTAGCATTTTCTGATTTGATTTTTTTGTTTTAAATATTGTTTTGGGCTGGGCACAGCGGTTCATGCCTGTAATCCTAGCGTCTCCAGAGGCTTAGGCAGGAGGATCACAGGTTCAAAGCCAGTCTCAGCAACTTAGCTAGGCCCTGAGCAACTTAGCAAGACCCTGTCTCAAAATAAAAAATAATAAAGGGCTGGGGATGTGGCTCAGTGATTAAGTACCCCTGAGTTCAATCCCTGGTACAAAAAAAAAAGAAAGAAATATTTGGGGGAGGAATGGGGAATCTTTGAGCCACTGGACTATAATTTGATATGAGGTTTCCAGACAGCTAAATGTTGATATCCAAACAATTTGTAGAATATCCTACTGCTATTGAGATTTTTTAAGACGATAACCTTTTTTTTTAAGAAAGAGAGAGGAGGGAGGAGAGAGAGAGAGAGAGAGAGAGAGTTTTTAATATTTATTTTTCAGTTTTCGGTGGACACAACATCTTTATTTTATTTTTATGTGGTTTTGAGGATTGAACTCAGCACCCCGCTCATGCCAGGCGAGCGTGTTACCGCTTGAGCCAGATCCCCAGCCCCAAGAAGATAACCTTTTTTTATATATTTTTATTTTATTTATTTTTATTTTTATGTGATGCTGAGGATCAAACCCGATGCCTCACACATGTGAGACAAGCTCTCTATCACTGAACTACACAGCCCCAACCCAAGATATAGTTTTTATTGTATAACTTTATTGCAGTTTTTAATTGCATAATAAACTTCCATATTCATATTGATCTGTTCCCAGGATTTTTTCTTTCTCTCCCTTTGCTGATGAATTAATTTATTCATCCATACATGCTTCTTTAAATATTTCAGTTTTATAACATTTTAATATCTTTTAAATCTTTTTATTTTTTTAGCCATTTTGCCCATTTGCTTTTTCATAATAGTTTTAAAATCAATTTTCCCAATTTTTCAAATCCTGTTGGTATTTTTATTGGAATCACATTGAATGTAATGGTCAGCTTAAGGAGAACTGCCATTATTTAACATTCAATGTACTCTTCTTTTTAAGTTTCTATTAGTTGTAGATGGACACAATACCTTTATTTTATTTATTTATTTGTATGTGGTGCTGAGAATCAAACCCAGTGCCTCGCACATGCTAGCTCTCTACCACTGAGCCACAACCCCAGCCCCTCAATGTACTTTTGTGTTCATTTTGAACATTTAAATTTTTTCCTGGTATACCTCTTTACATTTCACACTAAGTTAGCTCCTAAGTGTTTTAAATCCTGTCATAATTGATTCTTTTCTTTCATTCTTTTCTTCAAGCCTGCTTCTTTATATGAAAACTACTGTTTTGTGATATATTCATTTTGTATAACACCATATTATTGAATTTTCACTTGATTCTAAGGTATAAGAACATATAAACAGGGCTGAGGCTGTAGCTCAGTGCTAAAGTGCATGTGAAGCACTGGGTTTGATCCTCAGCACCACAAAAAAAATAAACAAATAAAATAAAAGTATTAAAAAATGAATCCTCAAAAAAACAGAACATATAAACAGTAATCATTTTAACCTTCTCCTTTCTCATTTTTATCTTCTAATTTCTTTTGGAGGATAATTGTATTGTTTAGTGCCTTCAAAAACTATTAGGTGATCATGATGAACGTAAATGTGTTAGTTAGGGCCCCGGTCCACAAGTTCTTTGACACTCCTTCCTTCAAAAGACAGAGCCTAACTCCCCCTTCCTCTTTTTTATTTTAATTTTTTTTAGTTGTCAATGGATTTTTATGTTATTCATTTATATGCAGTGCCAGGAATCAAACCCAATTCCTCATATACTAGGCAAGCACTTTATCACTGAGCTACAACCCCAACCCATAACTCCCCTCTTCTTGAATGGAGGCTGGACTAGGAGACTTGCTTCTGTCAAACAGAAATGAAGTGGAAAGGTTGGTGTGTGAAAAAAGGATGGTGCGGAAACCAGGTCATAAAGGCCCTGCAACTTCTTTTCCTTCTCTTGGTTGGCTTGTTCTGGGAGATGCCAGTTGCCATGTTATGAGGATACTCAAGCATCCCTGTAGTTCCATATGTTGAGATATGAGATCTCTGGTCAAGAGTTACATAATAAGTGAGCTTGAAAGTGGATCTTCCTGCTCCAGGCAAGCCTTTGGATGATTACAGCCCCAGGTGACATCTTGACTATAAACTCATGAGAGACCCTGAACCAGAACAATCCAGCTAAGTTGCTCCCAATTTTCCAACTTACAGAAACCAAGATACAAATCAGTCATATGTCAATGTATTAGCAACAAAGGAATAGGAAATTGAAAGAAAAATACCTTTACAGAAGTATAAAACATGAAATGTGTAAGAATGAGTGTACCAAAATATGTGCAAGACTTATATACAGAAAATTGCCATTGATGAGAGAAATGAAAGAAAATCTAAATAAATCATCTGATCTGATTAATTCCATGTTAATCAATTAGAGGACTCATTAAAGTGCCAGCTTTCCCAAACTTATCTATAGATTCAAGGTAGAACTGGTCAAAATTCCAGCAGACTTTTGGTAATAACGTACAAGCTATTTATATGTGTATCAAAGAACCCAAATAACTATGGAAAATTGCAATATAAATGTTCCTCAGCCTAGCAGTGTGGTTATCTTGCTGAGCCTATATAAATTGAAAATATCAGGGTTGGGGTTGGGGCTCAGTGGTAGATCACCTGCCTGGCATGTGTGAGGCACTGGGTTTGATCCTCAGTACCACATATAAATAAATGAATAAAATAAAGGAATTGTGGGCTGGGGTGTGGCTCAGTGGTAGAGCACTCACCTAGGATGTGTGAGGCCCTGGGTTCAATCCTCAGCACCACATAAAAATAAATAAATATAATAAAGTTATTGTTTCCATCTGCAACTAAAAAAACTTTAAAAAAAAGGTATTGTGAGGCCCAGGAAAGCTCCACTGACACACTGAGTCCAGAGCCCCACACTGGGTCCAGAAACAGCTCACAGCCACAATACTGCATACCACAGAGCTGCATCTCTGAACACATCGCCCAATGCCACCCCCGACTTCACCCCCCCAACCCCCGACTCCATTGCGGCAAGTAGCCACCTCCAACTTGGGTCACCTTCATCACCATGTTTAATTGCAGCAACTCCCAGGTCAGAACACCAGCTGGGCAGGTACCAATAAACACCAACTCCCCTCCTCCCTGGCAGCCGCTAATCTGGCACAGTGACTGCCCAATACAAAACAGCTCTCCAAGACAGATTCGCAGCCCACAAGACCTCTGGAGAGAAAGGTTCCCAATTAGGAAGTAGAAAGGGAAAGGGTGAGTGAAATACAGTTTAGAGACTAAATTAGAGACCAGGAACTATGAGGTCTACAGGCAATATAAGGAGATAACACCAGGTGCCCACATCACATGAGCAGGCCCCAAAGGAGATCCTTGGGGTGCATTCTCCCATCGGGAACCAACTGGTACCATACCCCACTTCCAGGTGCCCTGCACCCAAGTCCAACCTTCCCATCCTGGTAACCTTCACCATTCTGAGAGTGGAGATACCAGCAGACAACAGACACCCCCACCTACTGGATGAGAAGAGAAGCAGGAAAGACACTGATCTCCAACCAAAACAATCCTTGTTTCTTCCTTCAAGATTTTTTTTCCTCTTTTTCTCCCTCTTTATCCTCCTGCCCTCACATCCCCAACATTTGTGAAACCAAATAATGTACATGAATTAGGCTACTGAGGACTGGGATGTCTGAATAGTATATTACCATTGTGTTGTATATTCTTTTATCTCCTATTTTTACATTTTTTATTTTTCTTAATATTTATGTGTGTTTGTTTTATGTGCTCTATTGTCTTCCCAGTTACTTGTCTCCTCAAAATCACTTCTTCTATCTTCACCTGCTACTAACCATCTTCTTTAGATTCCTCTTTCACATTTCCCAAGATCTAATAACTCTATGCCCTCACCTCCTACCCCCTCAACATTTCATCCTACACCTCACCCCCTGTTCTTTGTCCACCATCAGAAACTGTAAACCATTTTGCAAACCTACTGTTCATATTGTAGATAATAATTGAACTTACCATTTCTGTATATTGTGACAAAACTGTAAACATCTTAATAGCAGCTATTTGGTTTAAGGTTGTACACTATTTGTATTGGGAATCTGTTAACCTTGTTCTTCACCTCAAAGGAGAGGTATTGGAACCCTGCAGCGGCACTATAAGCCTATAGGGTAAAAATGGTCACACCATGGATCTGCAGTGCCAGAAGGGAAGACACACGGAGAACATGAAAAAAAAAGGGGGGGGGGAGTGCCCCAAACAAATCAAGATACTACATTATTGGAATCCATGGCCAGCACAACAGAAGAAATTACAGAGAAAGAGTTCAGGATGTACATAATTAAAATGTTCTCTGAATTAGGGCTGGGGTTGTGGCTCAGTGGCAGAGTGCTTGCCTAGCATGTGCGAGGCACTGGGTTCGATTCTTAGAACCATATACAAATAAAATAAAGGCATTCTGCCCATCTACAACTACAAAATTTTTTAAAATAAAAAAATAAGTAAAATAAAGGTATCATCTCCAACTACTACTAAAAATAAATATTAAAAAACATTCTGTGAATTAAAAGATGATATAAGAGAACAGATACAGGCAGCAAAAAATCATTTTGATAAAGAACAACATAATACAGGAAGCAAAGATTACTTCAAAAAGGAGATAGATGTTCTGAAAAAAAAAAAAACTAAACAGAAATCCTTTAAATGAAAGAAACAACAAACCAAATTAAAACCTCAATAGGAAGCATCACCCACAGATTAGACCACTTGGAAGACAGGACATCAGACAATGAAGACAAAATATATAATCTTGAAAAGAATGTAGATTACACAGTGAAGATGGTAAGAAACTATGAGCAGAACATTCAATAAATATGGAATAACATAAAAAGACCAAATTTAAGAGTTACTGAGATAGAGGAAGGCATAGAGTTTTAAACCAAAGGGCTGAGCAATTTATTCAATGAAATAATATCAGAAAATTTTCCAAACATGATGAATGAAGTGGAAAACCAAATACAAGAGGCTTACAGGATGTCAAATGTACAAAATCTTAACAGATTCACACTAAGGCACATTATAATGAATCTTAAAAGCCACAAGAGAAAGGAATCAGATTACATATAGGGGAAAAACAATTAGGATCTCTGCAGATTTTTCAACCTAGACCCTGAAAGCTTAAAGGTCCTGGAACAACATGTACTAAGCTCTGAAAGAAAATGCATGTCAACCAAGAATCTTATATCCAGCAAAATTAAGCTTTAGATTTGATGATGAAATAAAAACCTTCCATGATAAAAAAAAGTTAAAAGAATTTACAGCTAGTAAGACTGCACTACAGAACATCCTTGGCAAAATATTCCATGAAGAGAAAATGAAAAACAATAATGAAAATCAGCAGAGGGAGGTATTACACTAAAGGAAAAACTAATCAAAGAGACACCAAGTCAAGTTAAATACCAAAAATAAATAAAAATGGCTGAGTGTGATGCTCCACTGAGCATGGGGGACTCAGGTCTCCCCTTGGGAACAATCCTAGCACTCCCATGTGTAGACTGCATAGGTATTAGGTCTTGCCCTCGCTCTACCAATGGGACAGGTCTCATAGCTCTGGAATTGGGCATAACCCATTGGATTTAGACAGCCCACTTCCTTCTTGTTTGGTGAAGACATTCAGTAGAAAACCTTTAAGTTCTCTTGTATAAATAAATGAAACACGGGCTCTCTCTCTCTCTCATCTCAGTGTAGAAGCTCAGTTGCTAAGTTCATAGAGCCGTCCCTACCCTGCTTTTCAAAATTAATTCCAGTTGTGTGGTTTCTTCATCACTTCTTTTTCTTAGCTTTATTTTGCAGGCAGTTTACTCCATGCAGGGGAACTCCAACTCAATCACCTGCGCAGGAGTGGGCAGGAGCTAGGGATACAAATCATGTTTCAATAATAATCCTGAACATTAATGGCCTAACCTCACCAATCAAAAGATATAGACCAGCAGATTGGATTTTTAAAAAAAAGATCCAACAATATGCTGCCTCCAAGAAACTCATCTTATATGAAAAGACATCCAAAGACTGAAGGTGAAAGGTTGGGAAAAAACATACCACTCACAAGGACTTTGGAAACAAGTAGGGATCTCCATCCTCATATCAAATAAAGTAGACTTCAAGCCAAAGTTAATCAAAAGGGATAAAGAAGGACATTTCATACTGTTCAAGGGAGCCATACATCAACAAGACATAACAATTATAAATATATATTCCCAACGTTCATTAAATAAACTCTTCTCAAGTTCAATAGTTCAAATAGACCACAGTGCAATAATACTGGACGACTTTAACACAGCTCTTTCACCACTGGATACATCTTCCCAATGAACGCTGAACAAAGAAATTACAGAACTCAGTAATACACTCAATAACTTAGACTTAACTGACATATATAGAGTATTTCATTCATCAACGAGTGATTACATTTTCTTCTCAGCAGCACATGGATCCTTCTCTAAAATACATTATATAATATGCCATAGAGCAATTCTTAGCAAATACAAAAAAAGTATAGATACTACCCTGCATTCTATCAGATCATAATGAAATGAAATTAGAAATCAATGATAAAATAAAAATAAAGGCTACTCCAAAACCTGGAGACTAAATAATATGCTATTGAATGAACAATGGGTTGCCAAAGACATCAAAGAAGAGATTAAAAGATTCTTAGAGGACTGGGGTTGTGGCTCAGCGGTACAGCACTCACCTTGCACGTGGGAGACCCTGGGTTCCATCCTTAGCACCACATAAAAATAAATAAACAAAATAAGGATATTGTGTTATGTAAAGCTAAAAAATATTTTTTTAAATTCTTAAAGATATGGGCTGGGGATGTGGTTCAAGCGGTAGCACTTTCGCCTGGCATGCGTGCGGCCCGGGTTTGATCCTCAGCACCACATACAAAAACAAAGATGTTGTGTCCACCGAAAACTAAAAATAAATAAATATTAAAATTCTTAAAGATAAATGAGAATACTAATACAACATATGGAAATCTCTGGGACACTATGAAGGCAGTACTGAGAGGAAAGTTCATTTCAGGAGTTCATTCCTTCGAAGAAGAAAAAGTCAACAAATAAATGACCTAACATTACATCTCAAAGCCCTAGAAAAAGAAAACTCAATCAACATCAAAAGCAGTAGAAGACAGGAAATAATTAAAATTATAGCTGAAATCAATGAAATTGAAACAAAAGAAACAATTGAAAAACTTGACAAAACAAAAAGTTGGTTCCTTGAAAAAATAAATAAAATTGATAAACGCTTAGCCAATCTAATGAAGAGGAGAGAGAAAACTCAAATTACTAACATCTGTGATGAAAAAGGAAATATCATGACAGACACTACAGAAGATGATTATAAATTATTTTGAAAATTTGTACTCCAAGAAAATAGAACATATCAAAGGCATCAACAAATTTCTATAGTCATATGATTTGCCCAAACTGAATCAGGATGACATACACAATTTAAACAGATCAATTTCAATCAATGAAATAGACGATGCCATCAGAAGCCTACTACCCAAGAAAAGCTCAGAACCAGATGAATACACAGCCGAGTTCTACAAGATCTTTTTTTAAAATTTTTTTTAAATATTATTTTTCAGTTTTCAGTGGACCCAACATCTTTATTTTATTTTTTATGTGGTGCTGAGGATCAAACCCAGTGCCCCGATCACACCAGGAGAGCACGTTACCGCTTGAGCCATATCCCCAGCCCCTCTACAAGATCTTTAAAG